AACGTTCCCTTTATAAACGTTTCTACAGACCTTCGTTCCCACCGAGTGCTACCAAAATTTATACAAAAAAATGCAAAAATGGGGACAAAATAATAAAACAGTTGAGGATGATAAACCACTTTAGCTGGCAGCACACAGCACCTTTGAGTTCACCCTTGATTTCCCTTTAACCCTCATACGTTTACCCCTCGGACAAACCTGTCACAACTTTGTGACTCCAACCCCCACCCTGACACGACTCAGCGAATAATACTGTCTATGGAGAAAACCCACTTTTTTCCAACTCTGCTGCATTCAGTTTCTTCCTTCGTCGGTTCAGTTCTTCTTCCTCCTTACGTTTACGTTTACTGCGCTTTAATTTCGGTTCCTCTTCTTCACTTGAAGACGACGATGAGGCTTCTGACCTGAAATGTACTAATCGAGTTGATACCTTTATTCTGACAGCTAAACGTCATTAAATAGACATGTAAAGAAAAGATCAATTAAATACTGAATGAAGTCATGCCTCCCCCCCCTTTCAAGCAGACCGTATACTCGACCACAAATTTCGTACAATTATCTGAAACACCACCATGAAACCACCTCGATTAGGTAGAAACTACAAGAGTTGAAGGCGCTGTTTGGCTTGGGAGGAGCATTTCGGACTTTTACTATCCTCCCGTTGTTAGTTTACCAAATAACATCTCATTTTGGAGAAACCTGTAAACTCTTGTGAACCTGCGGTATGGTACAAGTAAGTCATTCTGGTTAAAAGTATTTAGATGTCGTAAGAAAGTGATTTCGAAGGCCTTGTCAAGCACCATTTGATGCCCCCACCGACCCGCGCCAGATTTCAAAATTCAAAAACACAATCCGCGATTTTGTGCCATAGGTAGTGAAGATCAAACATGTAAGTAAATGTGCGTATGAATTTGCCTATTAAGACACAAATGAAAGAACCAAAGGTGAAAGAAAAAAGTATAGTTCGGAACGGTATGGAGAGGATCCTATTTTCTTGAGCTAATATCAACTATTGGACAAGCACGCGAAAAAGCTAGAGGCGATGAGACACTTAACCGTCGGGTGAGGGACCAGACAACATAGCGAAACGGCTGCACTCACTACAAGGATGCAGAAATCGACCGCATCTCTGTAGACATGGCTGATATGGGCGGAGTTACCAGCCATACGCAAGCTCCCATTGCCGAGGGGAGGGTGGTACGAAGAGGCGCTTTTTTCGCGTAAAGTAATCGGAATGTGCGTCTCCTAATTAAAGACTTACTCATTAAAGACAGTATCCGCGCTCGAGAGGCCTTCAAAATGACTTCGCGCCTTCTGGAACCCTCTGCGCCTTGATGAAGATGATCCCGCTTTTATCCATCAATGGCGCGCGATGAGGAAGTTATCGCAATTTCGACAAGGCTCGCTAGGCTCACGGAGACGGTAGGTGGACGAGGCGTCTGGTCCCGAACTGCATCCGTCCCTTTTAAAGCCCGCGCGTCCCTTTAAGCCCGCGGTCCCACTGGCATTTTGCCAAAGTTGGCTCATAGCTCAGCTAAAGGTCTTACTTCGGTCAGGCTTGTAAACATGTGTGAAAGTGCGGAACCATTAGAGTTTTTTTTTTGCTTATGGAATGTAGTGCTTGCTTTTCCAATGGTAGGGAGATTTTGTGTCAAGTGGGGTTTGTTGTCATTTTCTTTCTTTTTCTTTTTTTTCTTGTCAATTTCTCAAGAAAACTCCAGCAACCTTCCCAATTTTCTCTGTAAGCAACTCTATCCCATCGTCGTTGGAAATTGCAGTACGTTGCGAAGCGGCGCTGTAGCTTACGCTGTAGCGCGACGCTGTAGCGCGACGCTGTAGCGCTACAAGTATGAACGCTGCCTTACGTTCGAAAGTATCCTATTTCGAAAGTTGGGACGCAATTGCGGCTGCCGCATCGAATTCTGGCAGCCACGCCCGGCACACTCGTCCAGGCCCCGCCCCCACTGCTAAAGGTAGGTTTGGGTTCAAGGTGTTCCCGAAGATTTTTCTGCTTCTTTTTTACTGACTAGTGGATGGTCGTCAGGTCGAAGTGGCGTTGTTTAATGACGAGACCCGTTAGGACCACTAGCACGTATTTCAGAGCTCGATGTTTCAAAGCTGCATTCCAAATTTGGCACAAGCGATTTCTGTTGAAGGAGTCTATGACGGGTCGTATTGGAGCTGAAGCGCGCCGGTCTGGCGGCAGGTTGCAGCCAGCGGCATGAGTAAACCGGGATCGGCAGCGCCTCATCAAGCGGGCGGTTGGCACAGGAGGTAAGAGTCTAGGTCATGCGGCACATGAAGGTTCGGATCCCGAGAGTGTGGTTTGTTTTGCATTCCGTGGAGGACGTCCTACGACTATGATAAGCACTTCAAGCGTTGATGTGACCACATTTTTCAACTGGGGCTGGGCGATCAGTGTGATATACATCTTATGGGAATAGATCAAATTGTTCCGGATCAATGTCTAGAGGCTGCGAAATGACGTGGCAAGCGTGGGAACTTACCAGTAGGGTGAAAGCAGTACTGGTTCGCAGCTATTTTTTTGATTCGATTGTTCTCATTGTGAGCAACTTCTCTGTTTTGACCCACTTGTATTAGGGTATCATATTTGCTCATGAGGTGAAGGAGTCATTTTTTTGCATAGCATTATTATCGTGTATGATTTGAAGAATGTAATTCCCATAACTATAAGATGTATATCACACTGATCGCCCAGCCCCAGTTGAAAAATGTGGTCACATCAACGCTTGAAGTGCTTATCATAGTCGTAGGACGTCCTCCACGGAATGCAAAACAAACCACACTCTCGGGATCCGAACCTTCATCGTGTGCCCATGAACCTAGACTCTTACCTCTGTGCCACCGCCGCCGTTGGATGAGGCGCTGCATCCCGGTTACTCATGCCCGCTGGCTGGCAACTGCCGCCGACCCCGCGCCGCTTCAGCCAAACGACCCGTCATAACTCCGTTCACAGAATCGCTTTGCAAATTTGGAATGCAGATTTGAAATCAGCGTCTGAAAATACGTCTAGTGGTCTAGGTCTCATTACAAACGGCCACTTCGACCTGACGACCATCCCTAGTGAGAGTGAAGTACTTGGGATACTGGGTGGGGCATGACAGAGTACAATTGCGCGCAATACTTGATCGCGATAATTGTCTTCAAACCAGAAAGCCAATAAGAACGTCATAGGTAAAAAAAATGAAGGATATCTCGAATCTTACCCGATTCCATCATCTTCGGCATCCTTCTTGGATTGTGCTTGTTCCTCTTCCTCATCTGAACTTCCCAATCCCATATCCAGATATCCGCACTTCTCAAGAGTTGTTGCCTTTTCGTTCTCAACCTGAGCCAATTTTTACATCAGCACACTCACATCCTTTCGATATTCCATAATACAACGGTCACATTTCGCGAACAGCAATTTAATCACTCGTGTCGTCTCACGCGTCTGTGATTAGCGCTGGAGCGCTTCATTATTTACACCGCTCGTGATCGACAAAGTTTCAAATTGGTTTGCTTCGCTACTAGTCCCACAATCGCTTGAATAGCGTGAACGAAGCGGTAGTGCCGGCCATACGACCGAGCGACTGAATCAATGGCAATCGCGAACTGTGAAAGAGCCAGCCTAGGAGGGTGTTCATACTTCGCGTTATCGTTTCGAGCGTACAACAGTGTTTTGAGCGAATAGGAAAGCAAAGGTACCGATCTTGCGTTTTGATGCACGCTAGCGCTTTCATCGACTAGGGAAGTATAGGTATCAACCCAGTGTACGCTCAAGTCACTTGACCGATACCGTACTTTTATAGTCATTCAAAATGCTCGAGGCGCCGACACGAAATATAAAAGCACTCTAACATTCTAAGTGATCCTATTCCTTATCCATAACTAAACTCACTGCGTCATTGAGATCCAAATCAGCGAAGTATTCGTCCTCTCCATGAAGAGCATCAGCGATGCTGTCCGTCAGAAGTGCCCCCACATAGTTCGCAATGAATGCACCGGCTGGGATATCACATAGAGCCCGAACACCCCAGCCACTTTGTGCGGTCTTATAAATCTACAACAAAATGTTGGATTCTTCTCTCGAACGGTACATTTGCTTTACTAACAAAAATCAGGCGCTGTTTGGCGACGGGGGGGCATTTTGCACTTTAACGACTTCCCATCGACGTGTCGACCCATCTAGACAGCCTCTTCTCGAGTTGACAGGTTTTACCATGATACGAGCTACGAGCCGAGCTTAACGAGCTTGCTCCAGCTTCACAAGAGTTCACAGGTTTCACCAGAGTGAGACTTGTAAACCAGAACTAGTGAAGCAACGAAAGTGCAAAATGCCCCCCCCCCTCCCGTCGGCAAACTGCGCCCAAAAATCACTCAGACTGAAGAGAATACAAGTAATTCTGGGAAGAAGAACTCACTTGGATAGGGTACTTGATCGGTTGTTGCACAACACGATTATAACATCGTTTCTGCTGACAGCCGCAGTTATCATTGCACTCAAATACGCCTGTGATCGTCTTGCCAAGCAGGGTACGGTAGCTATAGCTGTAAATAAAGCGTGATTTTCAACCCGCAAACTTATAAAAGTTATATAACGAAAAAATGAGTGGTTGCTAGCAATCTTCGACACATACAAATAATTTGTATGACAAAAATAGTGAGCAGGAGCAGCGTAAATAAGGCTGAAGACGGATCCCACGCTCAACAAACTCCTAGGATTTCTTTCCTTTCCAAGTAGTCCAGTCCGCGATCTCTGACCGTCAGGAGTTCAGAAAACTCGTCTAGTCATGGAGGCATATTTTGCGAATTTGATCAGCTTTTTCTTGATTGTCAAATCAGTGACCACACTCACTTCCATTTTTGAGCCCTATTACCAGCGACTGGCAATCGCGGAGCTCGCCTGGAGTGCTGTCAGGGCTGAGTATTTGTTCCATATATCCCATCGGTGTCGCATAGTAAGTTGTCATCAGAGGTCGTTCAGTCGAACGAATCCCAGAAGATGGCCGTAGAGGAGACAGTTGAGAAACCGACCGGGCACAAGAAAAGTTCCAAAGACACATCCGGGCGGGCGGAAAATACACGGTCACTCAGCCATTGTACCTTCCTTATTGATGCGCCCCGTTCTAATACTG